TCCAGTCCAATACGTTCAATAACCATACAGAACCTTGTCTTCAGTGAAGTTTCTATAAATCATTAGGTGAGGGGACGAATGTTAATGATAAACAATTGAAAGTGGGCGAAACCCATATGGAGTCTTTTCTGAGGGAAGATGTGCTCCCACCCTCCTGTAGTCCTCCATTTACAAACCCTATTGCCTTTTTTACGACCACTATTGGAAATATTGGTCTTCTGTAAACTTATACATAATATTTATCAGAAGCTCTGTTCAAAGTCCCAAAATATACGAATATGATTCCATTGCATATGCTCAAAGAGTAGAATGCAACTTATACTATATAACTATAAACACAAGCAATGCATTATCAAATGATTAATTAACTGTAGTCTGTAGGTTAATCTCATGAATCAAGTTGTTTCCCTTAGATACAAATCGTTCAGTAACTTGCTAAACAAAATTACTGTAAGTTTTTTTTTATATGGCTTGGGTCTTCTAATAGACTAATATTAGACAATATAAGTTTGATGTGTAGTTTCTATAACCATTAATCTTTTTAACTCAAAGCAAATAGTTTATGTTAACATGTATTGGTTATATTATTTTTGTAAGTGGGCGTATGTTATATTGCTTATCTAATATGTGTATGCAGAGCTGAAATGCATTTCTGTATGGTGGATTTAAATCTATGACTTTTTGAGAGACTGCTTGCTATTAAATTGTATGAGAACTCTTAAGTAGGTTTTCAAATTGCAATACTCATCTGTCCAAAGATTTGACAACCAATTTCAGATCTGAAGCAGATTCTTTTCCCACTTTTTGACACTAATAGCATCCATTTTACACTATTTCAATTTTCCGTCAACTGTATTGCCATCCAGGTAAAAGTAGGCGTTCTAAGGCGTTGCATAAACCACAGAAGTCTAGTGACTGAAAATATGAATGGTGCAAAACCGATGATATCAGTGTCCCCAATACATAAACCATAAAAAGTTTGGAAAACTTTTAAACACATTTAAATAATGGGGTCCATTTACTACAATGCTATGTTTTATAATGCCAAGAGATTAAATCAAATTGTGGCCCCAAGTTGAACATGCAGTTATCAACTATAAAAATGACAAAAAATTAAAGAATTAGTTTGGTAGAATATAAAACAATTTATTTCAGAAGTAAAATTCTCACTTTTATAACAGTCAAATCAATCCCTTCCAACTCCATACAATATAATTACATTGCCATTGTAACTGTAGATACTTCCTTACATAAGAACATATTGAACTCATTTTGGTAGCATTATGATTCCACAAAATCAGGCCCGAAGACAAATCTTCGTTATTCATCACTTCTTGTAGCAGTATTTCTGTTTTTGTAAAAAAACAGTTCCTAATGAATGCTTATCAAAATGTAATGACACAAAATACACAATCTTTTATCCATAGATTCACACTATAGTCAGTACTTCTCTAAAATGGTGATTTACATCTTGCTGGTCATTGTGTGTATCAGATATGCACAAATTGGTTATTTCATACTATACTTTAGAACTTCAAGACAGACGGAATGTTTTAAATGCACTGAACACTTAACACTCTCTTTTGTTGACTGTTGAACACAATAAACACACACGAGATTGGCACACATTTCTTTTCCATCTATCCATAGATTTTTCCTTAAATCTAATAAATATATTACCTTCTATGTGTAACCATAACACTCCATCAGATTAACTGAAAAAAACAAAAACAAATCTGATTCATTATAGTTTATCAGTCCTAACAGGACTAACATTTGTAATGACAGAGCGTTTTGTCCTGCTAGCATTAGTCTACTATATTCGAATTCCAATTGTCGAGAATTCTTTAACGTGCTAAGCCAGTAGTTCATGGTTTAATATTCAATCCCTAGACATCTTCCTAAGGCAATATTGAGCCCTCGATCTTCAAGGTTAGCAAGTCTAAGCTCCCAGCGTTTATTGCTTTCATTTTGTATGAAAGAATAAGTTACTTTCGTTTCGACATGCATAGAGTTATCTTTCTATACTCTTAATCAGTCGTAACCAATACAACACAACAGTCCATCTCGGCAGGACAGGGACGATGAACTCCCTGCAGGACTACTCCCTGCCTACCCATAAACTCTGAAAAGAGTTATCTTTATCACCAATATCTGAAATAGAAAAAAAACAGAAAACAAGAAAAAATTGCCATAGCTCATAGGGAAACTATAAATTGTATGGTCTGTTGTATGAAGGGATGGTGCAAATTTTGCAAAGTTCTAGTACTTCTGAAGACTGTTTACATATATTTAAGGTCCAAATCAACCCTCTGATTGTGCGACTTTCTGTCCCATGTTTAATTGACATCAAAGCTATTATTTCTAAAATATGATCAATCAACATCTGCAAAGATTTCAGTTTGCTTTATGTTCAAATTACCTGATAGTTTAGATTTCAAATTTAAATCTTCTTCATCCTTCTACACCATAACCACCATTATCTGAAACCATACACCAATATTTCCAGTCTTCCTAATTCTTCAATATCTGAAATCATGCACCAATACCTGAAACAACCAGAGACCTTCAGAAAGGATTCTATCCCCCGTGACTATAAAAAATGCCAATTTCTGAATAGAAAAATCTCATTACATCCCCCTCCCCCAATTAGAAATTGAAACTAACCAAACTTATAATCCAACCAGTTTACAATCCAAAAAAACTAAAACCAGCCCAACTGAACAAAAGTCATGGACAAAACAGCAGATATCCAAACAAATGAAAGCCAAAAGTCAAACAAATATGCAGAAAGCCAAACAAATAAAAAACCGCAAACCCCCAAACAAAAACGCAGGAAAGCTGAAAACCATTAGTCTTGCATATCCTGAAATAAACAGAAATAATATCTAGAAATAAAATCAGAAAGAGAATATGAAGAAAAAAATGCTGAAAAAGCACCATAGCTTTATAACCTGGTAGGAAGCATCTGTGGCTCAGTGAGTCAGATGCTTGCTTGCATCATTTTCAGAAATGTTTGGGGTAATACCCAGTACCCCTGTCAATGATGCAAGTCAGAGGGGTCGACATGAAAAAGGGTCTAGTTGTATGGATGGGACAATAAACTTAGGTTCTCTGTGCAATAGGCTTTTTACATTAACTATCCTGCAACTGTTGGAAATTGAAATCCTAATCCATCATTTCTATCATTGAACAATGAAAATATTACAAAACACCATTTTATTTCTATTAGCTGGTAAAATGTAAATATTTAAATGACCATACCTGCAGTTTCTTCATCTGTACGTATATCACTTCTCATCTGATAACCCCCTTCATCCATAACTTGACCCTTTAACAAAAATACCAACTTTCACCTCAACCCCATCTTTGACCTGAACTATGACCTTTGACCTGAACTATGACCTTTGACCTCAACTATCAACTCTGACCTTTGAACTCAACCTCTGACCTTTGACCTCAACCACCAACTCTGACCTTTGACCTAAACTTTCATCTTTGACCTCATAAACTAACTTTGATCTTAACGGCCATATTTGACCTGAACTTCTAAAACTATACACAGCAAAATATACTAAACAAAAAAGCAGAAATCCAAACCGAAAAAAAGAAGAAATGCGAGCCATTTAGAAAACATCCAAATAATTGTTCATGGTCTTGTATCAAGGCAATTCTTGTTGAATGGTAGTTTTGCTTTCATTGACTGGTATCTAGTGAAAGATGCAGAAACACCTGAGTTAGAGAATTCGATGGCAGAAAGGCAATCAGCCTATTGATAAAAAGAAAGGAATATTTTTTACAAGGATAACAGCTTAGGCTCACAAGATCCTGTCTAACAGCTGGTCCTTGGCCAAACTTTTTGGCAATGATTCTCCAGATTATCCATACCCATTTGCAGCTGAGTCGAATAAAATACTGAGGAATGATGACTTATTCTAGTTCAAGGAGAAAGTCAAATCTGAAGACACCAGTAAAAACAAGTTGTTGGAAGCAGAATTTGGAACTAATAATGCAGAAACACCAGATCAATGCAGAAATACTAAACCAATGCAGAAAAACCTAATTAATGCAGAAACACCAAATCAATGCAGAAACACCATCTTCTTCCGAGCTCTCAGCTGAAATAAAAAAAAAATATTATGTAAATAAGCTTGATCGCAACTTGCTTTTAATAAAATACTACCTCTTACAATAAACAGCCAAAAAACGTATGAGTACTTACTCTACAAGTAATTATTGAACAACGCTTAAGATTTTTTGTGGAATTCACAAGGTAGCTCAATGTCTGAAAAACGAGCATCAATTTTCCGCTTTAACACGACCAATTACTTAAGTACGTTAATGAAATTTACACAGAGTACTTTCTAATTTTAGTTTTACAATGCTTTCTTTAAGTTCAAACGTTTTCTGAACGGCACTTTTACATTCAGAGACTCACAAGAAAGCACCTAATATTTATTTAGTGTTTACTCTAAGGGGTAGTAAAAATCATAACTATGTCATTACTATGTCATAACTGATATGCGAATGTAAGCAAGGCCTAAAAATATTGAATTTTTTGCCTTTCAAAAATGCAATGGTAGAGGAACTAAATGCTAGTGCTAGTATTTTATTTGGGAAAATGTCAGTCAATAAATTATTGAAATTTGGATACATTTTAATTCAATTGTAGAGGAACTACATGTGAAGTGCCATGGTTAGCAGATAGGCCTATAATGCTCGATCAACTGGTAAATAAAATATTAAGATGACTATATTAACTAAATCCATTGTAACATACCCACGACTTTAAATCTGTAGACGTGGTTCTTCTTAATGAGCACTCTTTGGTTCCTCTCTTCATCTGTTGATCTTCTCTTCTCCACTCTTCACTGGATCTTCATACTTCTTCTGTTCTTCATCTGTTCTGTAGGCGCCGCTTCATCTGTTCTTCATCTGTTCTTCATCTGTTCCTCTTCATCTGTGAATAGGAGGTCTGAAGAATCATACAGGCCATGAACTCAGAACACTCCTATTGTGGCAGTGCTTTTGCGGGTAGGTAAATTACCAGACGATTTACCCTTTCTAACCTGAAAAATATCAATACATGATCAAACAAACACATCAATGTTGTATATTTTTTTCTTATCTAAGAAGTCAAATTTTGTCTATCAGTTAAAAATTTGAAATGAAAAAAAAATAATAATAATAATCAGATGATTATCACTTAAGGTAACTTAATAACAAAAGTTTTTAGAGGGTATGAAATACCCCTAAATCAAAGAACGAAATTTGGTGTCACCATTCTGTAGGTTCTCGATAGGCTGTTTACCCCATTTATTTGGGTTTTTGTTTAACGAAAATAGCATGATTCACTGTATCAGATGAGCAGACAGGGTATCAAATTAGGAATATCAAACTGATTTAAGATTTCAGATAATTTATCTACAGAAAACTTGCCTTGCGAGCTTCTGTGCCACACCATAAGCACTAGACTTCCATATAATGAAGCTCTTTCTGTTTACACCTAAAATTAGAAATAAAACACTTATTTTTCTTTATATGGCACAAATGAAATATTTCAAACACATAAATTCAACAGTGGATGGGTTCTTTAGCTCAGCCAATTAGATCATTGGAAGTAGATTTTCACTAACAAAGGAGGATGTAAGTACATAATGTATAAAAAAATTGTTTTTATTCGAATGTTTCCCAAAAAATAATATAATGTTGCTATAATGTTTGTATTGTTAATATAACTTGTATTGCAATGTCATATCTAAGATATTAATTAATAGGTAACAGTTCGTACCTAGCTTCGTTCCAAGAGTCGCCTTTGGGACATTTGGTCTCCACCATAACCTAATTGACCTCCCAGTTTAAATGTCCTGTTGTAGCTAAAGACCAGCTACTTTGTTTTTGGAACCCTGGAAGACAAGAGTCCAAGTTTTAAAGTAGGTTTGGAAGGTTAGGTGATAAAAGTTATGAAAACTATAGACCAAAATCTGTAGGAGTATATCCCTCTGAAAGTTTTAAGCAAACGTATCTTTTCGTAAATTCTATAACATTAACACTATTCAAAAGTAATCTGGTAATGAAAATCTTGCAAACCACTCCTTTAATTTTGAATATCAAATGTGGTTGTCATTAGAAAATGAAAAGGAATTTTTCAGGGTGGATTTAATAATCTGGAAAAGTTAATAATATAGGAAAAGTGATTGAAATTGAAAGGTACTGACCGTGCTTCGTTGATCATCTAACTGCGTGTGGTGTATGTCAAACCCAATAGTAAAGACCACTATCGAGTTCCCGCTGACGGCTAAAAAAAAAACAAAAGACAAACATTGTATTGAGTCACAAAAAAAAACATATAATTTTGTATCTGAGGACACGTTTTATATATTTCGGTTTTATTGGGCATGGCTATTGAGCCAGTGTATGCTGAATGACACTGTATTGTTTGCAAATAGGCATACATTCCAGAAAATTCACACAGCTAATAATAATGCTACTATCATTTCAAAACATTAAAATGTATGATAAGCTTACAAAAAAATGGTGGAGGAATCGCCCTACTTCTTCATCTGTTCCTCTTCATCTGTTCCACTTCATCTGTTCCACTTCATCTGTTCCTCTTCATCTGTGAATAGGAGGTCTGAAAAGTCATACAGGCCATGACCTTAGAACACTCCTATTGTGGCAGTGCTATTGCGGGTAGGTAAAGTACCAGACCATTTACCCTTCTAACCTAAAATAGACACAAAACATTTTTTTTTTTCAAATCTTACAGTCAAACACATCCAAAAAAAAGCATGTCAATATTTTTACATGAAATATTTGTTTGAATTGAGATTTTCATTCAATCTTATATAGGCTTGTCAAACAGATTATTTGGTTTGGTTGAATTCTAGAGACATTGCCACTGTAACGATTACTTAATTTTTGTTATATTTCTCATTTTACTGATAAGTCCGGGGTACCAAGTGTCATCTCACAGCATCTCATCGCTGTTAACACCTTCAAGGATAAATTTATTTCGAGTCTAAATGGTCGAAGATAATGATTGCATTATGTAATAAAGTCAACTTACCTTACGAGCTTCTGTGCCACACCATAAGCACTTTAATTCTATATAGTGAAGCTCTATCTGTTTACACCTAAAATCATAAATAATTAAAACATAAGTATACCAAATTTCTTAAAAAGGCCATTTGAAAAACAATTCATCGAATTACAACAACAAATTTACCAACAATAATCTTAAGCATTCCATGTTTCATCTTATTTGATGCAAAATTGTTACCTTTTGTCATATATGAAAGCAAATTTGTGTGCATTTATCTAAGTTTAGTGCTATAACTCAAAGAAATTTCTTACAATTGTTTTTCATTTATTATTACCAAGCCTGATAACTAGAACAGATACACATAAAAATGCTTGAAAAATCTACAATCCATTTTTACTTTTGATATCAACACTTTGATTGCATTGCTGTATCATACTACATGATATCAAATATTTCAATCATTCTTACCAAGCTTTGTTCCAAGAGTCGCCTTATGGACATTTGTGCTCCACCATAACCTTTATTGATCTCCCAGTATAAATGTCCTGTTATAGCTAAAGACCAGCTACTTTGTTCTTGGAACCCTGGAAGAGAACACAGGAAATTCATTTACGGTAATTTAAATGGACAGATTCACCATTTTCGGAGGTTGATTTGGGTATTGACTATATGCATATAGCCTTCAGAAATATTAGGTATTAATTGCATAATTCCTTCAAAAATACCTCAATCTGTGAATTTCTCTTTCTATTTCTATAATCTCTTTTCTATATATAATAGTCTGAAAATATGCCTCTATTCCAAACTCAGAGATATTTTGACAGTTATCGGCTGCAGTAGAGTCAAAAAAGCTAGTTCCTGCTAGGTTTATGGAGATTTTCCACACCTCCGCAGATGCATTTTTTATCATAGCATTAAATTATCTTTACAATGCAAGTAGATTAGTTTTGGGCATCACCATACCTTTGTAGTACCATGAGCTGGCATATGCAGTTTTAAATAGCCAATGAGAGATCAGTTTTGTTAAAAACTTTGATGGAACCGCAGAGAATTATGATGATATGACAGAACTACAAAAATATCAATCAAGGGCAATAACTCAACAAGTGGTTGCCTAGCAAGATACGCCCACTTTCCTGATGCATTTTCAGCATATCAAGGGCGGTCACCAATACGTGTCAAATCATACCAAAAATCTAATTTGTGCAAGATATAGTTGATTTAATCAAACACACAAAATTTAATAAAAATCTGACATAAACTGTCACCTCTATCGCATTAACAAGCCAACAAATTTTTGTGTGTTTTTACTAAGTCAAGGGCAATAACTCAACTTCTAACTGGTCTAAGATCTCATCACTATAAATGATCACACCAAATTTCATTTAAATCGGATGAAAACTGTAGTCTCTATTGTGCTCATAAACAAATTTTGACAAGTTTTTCATTAGTCAAGGGCAATAACTCAAAAACATTCATCGAAAGATAGCCAACTTCGAACTTGTCCAAGTCTCTATTGTGTTCACAAACAAATTTTGACGAGTTTTTCATATGTCAAGGGCAATAACTCAATAGAAAGATTTTCAATTTCGAACTTGTCCAAGATCTATTAATATAAATGATCACAACAGATTTCATTTAAATCGGATGAAACTGTGGTCTCTATTGTGTTCACAAACAAATTTTGATGCGTTTTTTGTAAGTCGAAGGCAAAAACTCAAAAACCTTTCATCAAAAGATCGTCAAATTGGAACTTGTCCAAGATCTCATCATAATAAATGATCAAATCAAATTTCATTTAAATTTCTATTGTGTGGACAGACGGACCGATGGACAGGGGTGATGACAAATTATAATGTGAGCGTATAAAAACAAGGGCAGTTACTTATTATATATTTTTCGATTGTTTATATTACCTTCATTGGTTTCCTTCTTGATTCATTATAAACGTTTTACCAAGATTGAATAAGATCTGTCAATAAATGTACCTTGTGTTGACAAGCTAAAAATTGAACTCTTTTTCAAGAACAAGGGCTCATTTATTTATCTTCAAAAGTGTTCATTGTTCAAGAGATATAAACACTTACACCAAGTATTATCAAAATCGTCAAGAATTGTGCCTTCTAGAGTGTTCATGGACTGATAGACATTTGTGAGCCATTTTGAAATGTATAAAAATTTGTACTGACCGTGCTATGTTAATCATCTAACTGCATGTGGTGTATGTCAAACCCAATAGTAAAGACCGCTATCGAGTTCCCGCTGACTTGACGGCTGAAATAAAAACAAATGACGATTATACATTTTGAAACAATTACAGCAGGCATCAATAATTCGTGATTTAAGGAGTGTTTAATATGGAAAGTGGAATGGCTTCTTATTCAATGTTCTTCATTGCTATTTCTAAATTCTTATCTCTTCATGTGGAGCTTAATTCAACATTTTTATCATTGAAAATTGACATTTTTATACAAAAATCATAATTTGTACTGAAAATGTACATTTTTCGATAAACATTCGGTTTTACAATTATTGAATGAATAGAATTCTTGCCAAAAATATCCTCAAATGCAAATCTAGCTCAACATACAGACTTCAAATGCAAAACATCAAACACAAAACTTTACCAACAAATGTTCCTGCAAATCGAACCAGTGACAAATAATCTGAATTTATCAAGTGTTTACAAGTCAGACATCATTGAACCTTTGATACAGCGGTCCGTGGCAATCATTCTGTATTTTCCTAGTGTTTACGAATGAGATATCATTGAGCTTTAGATACAGTAACTTTGTTTCATTGGTTGTGAATTTATTTCTTGAAACATTATAGGAGCTGTGGTGGCTCAGTGAGTTAGACGCTTGCTCACTAACCTGAAGGTCCAGGGTTCGATCCCCGCATAGGTCGAGATAATACCTTCGGATTTTTCAACCTGGTTTCCCCCTGTCAGTGATGCAGGTAAGAGGGGCTGACATGGAAAAAGCGTCTAGTCTTTCGGATGGGACAATAAACCGAGACCCTGTGTGCTACAGGCTGTGCACGTTAAAGATACCTCGACAGTTGGAAATCGAAAAAGAGCAGGCTTATGCCGCTGTCCTGGCAAAATTTCCCTCATTGCACCCTGCATGGCGTTGCCCGTCTTCATTAGCCCACATGGTGCAGAAAAACTTAAAACTCCATTCATTTCATTTCATTTCATTTGAAACATTATAACATTCAAATGTGGATAATTCTGTACATACATGGATTTGAAGGCTTACATTTTGATGTCAAGCAGTGCACACTGATTAGCTATAAAATTCCTGTTTCTGAGACTATTTTAAAGTACAATTGGACAAATGAATTGCCAACCTGTCTGATAAAAACTGTTGCCTATATTGAGTCTACAAACCAAAGACAATATCTCCAAAACCTTTCAGAACATCAGATTGATGCCTATTTCAAACATGAACTAGCTCATCCATTTATAGATATAGCCTCTATAGTGTATAAAAGTCATATTGAAGCATATTTACTAGTTGAGGACAATAACTCCTAAATTTTTCATCATCAGACAAACATAAAGGGGCGACAGCAATATACAGTCAAGTAACCTAATTTTGTGGAAACCTATTCTTCGTGGATTTTCGGAAATGATTAATAGTTTACGTGAGCGACCTTGCGCGACCTCCGCATTAGTTTGTTTTAATAAACATGGGTTTTCTGTACAATGTCAGCTAGTAGAATGAATCCAGTAGTTTCAAGCAAGGTAAAATGTATTAATGTATACTTTGACAAATACAAAATGGCGGATTTCACTTATTACCAAATGTCACCATTTTTTATCAACCATTTCATTATAATCCTGAGCGGTAATCGGAATTCCAAGTGTCGTCTGCTAGAATATAATCCAACGAATGAAGTCACGTGATCAACTAGCGGATTCCGTGTCAGCAGAAAATTTCTATGGAACACAAAGTGGACCATATTCTTATGTTGTTTCAGTGACTTTTAGCAATAAATCACGCTACGTATCTTATTTTGTCATTCACTATTTTTTTTTTAAATCGTGGTTCTTTGAAGGAATTGTCACTAGTTATAATGAATTGATATTAAAGATAAATACTAAGAGAAGTTAATTATACCACCCGGTATCCATACAACGTGTTTTTCTAGACTTATTTATAGATCAAACATTGTACATGAAAATAGGTGACGCATTCTGCCGCCGTTCCCGAGTTGGTTGCTCATGAAATATGGGTCAAAGTGAAGGATTCATTAAGAAAATCGAAATAAACCAATTTTAATTATTTTGTAGAATATCTGAGAAAACATCTAAGACATAAAAAATTTTTTTCGTTTTTTTAACTTTGACGAAATTCGGTGTTGAATCCTTATATCCACGAAAATAGGTTACACCACTGTATGTCAACACATCTTTGAATGTTTACAACTGCAATCAAAGACAAGTGGTTGTCTAACAAGATATGCCCACTTTCCTGATACATTTTCATATATCAAGGGCGGTCACCTATCTGTGTCAAATCAAACCAAAAAATTTGTTATTGTATTGTGTTATTGTACCAAGTGCATTAATGCAACCTGCATGAACTTTTGTCCACTAGATGGCGCCACAGTTCAAATTTCAAAATGGTGCTAACAAAATGACTACTCTTGCCTATTTATACTTTCTGGTGTAATGTTTGGGTTTGATGAGGTCTTGAATAAATTCAAATTTACTTTCCTAGAGAAGGCAAACAAGTGGCTGCCTAGCAAGATACACACACTTTCCCGATACATTTTCAAGTATATCAAGGGCAGTCACCTATCTGTGTCAAATCATACCAAAAAATTCTAATTTGTGCAAGATATTGTTGATCTAAACAAAGACACATTATTTAATAAAATTCTGACATAAACTGTCACCTCTATCGCCAACAAATTTTGAAGATATTTTACTAAGTTCGTTGATCGAACAATTGTCAAATTCAATCTTGACTAAGATCTCATCATTATAAACGATCATACCAAATTTTATTTAAAAAGGATGAAAACTATACTCTCTATTGTGTTCACAAACAAATTTTGATGCGTTTTTCATAAATCAAGGGCAATAACTCAAATACCATTCATTGAAAGATAGCCTAATTTGAACTTGTTCAATATCTCATCATTATAAATATTCACACCAAATTGTGGACAGACGGACGGACATGGGTGACGACAATATACGTCCACATTATAATGTGGACGTATAAAAACCTTCTCACCTACCAGAAAGGCTTTTTTACATCAGAAGTCACTTATAGAGCTGTTCAGGTATCAACCAGAAAATAGAGATTACTTGTAAGGTTTCACTAATGAGTTCTAAAGTTCATCAAAGATACATCTAAGATATTCTCATTCACAGCATCCAATCCCAGTTATTAATCTAATTCAAGTTCTGTCCTGTTAGTGTTACTGTCTCACTGGAAAGTTACAAATATCTCTAAAAATGTACACATGTAAATATAAAACTATGAGACTATGTACAGATCATATTTTTGGTTACTTCCCTTTAATAATAAAAGTTTTTAAAGAGTGCCAAACTGACACTTGAACTAAATCATATAGTTTCTCAGGATAGAATATCTGTATAATCTAATTACATGATCATCATGAATTATGTATTAAATTTAATAAAAATTCTTAAGACAGCAATGAAATATATTCTTAAAGCTTGGTTGACATTTCAGTGAAGTTTTTCTTACAATAAATGGTGCTTATCAAATTAATTATTAACAAATTAATATTCAAACAGATAAAAAAATGTCTTCAGTTCAATAAATAAGTAATTTTCAACAAAATTTACAATGGTGACCATGACTATGGAAATAAAGGCTTCTGGGATTGCCCACTTCCATATATGGCTATGCTAAAGAGATGAAAGAGCAGGGGTTGTCTAGTACTAAATATGAACTTAGATAATGATATGGTAATTCTCTACTTTATATAGATAATTTGTGTCATTTTAATTTTCACAATGTGTCATCTAACTTTCACAATATGTCATTATAACTTTCAAATGCAGATAATTCTAGAAACAAATGGATTTGAATGCTCAAATTTCGAATGTCTGCTGATTAGATAAGGGCTGAAAGTAGTGTTGAAACGGTTAATCAGTTAACCGATTTCAGGTAGTATTTCACGGGTAACCGGGTCTGATTTGAGATTTAGTAAATAAACATCTTTATTGATTAAATAATTGAGATTAATAAATCAAGATAGGGTATTAATTATAAAGATAGCTTGCCAGGCATGGTAATATATACGCCCACTGATAGCTTTGTTTGAAATTGAATATTTGTTAGAAAAAATCAAACATAGACACCAGGAAATATTCAACTTCTACCCAAATCCATCACAAACTGTGCCATCACAAGTTAAAAATCAAACACATTTGTAAGAATAACGGCAATAACTTGTATTTTATATTTCAAAAGGTTTAGTTTTGATTGTGATCAATTTCATCAAGTTGTCAAATTTGTTTTAGAATTTTTTGATTTCCATGATTTTTCTATAGGGTTTATCCTTGGGTGAATACGAACACTCATACCAAGTTTCGTCAAAATCTGTCAAGAATTGTGCCTTCTAGAGTGTTTACGACCTAAAAAATGAACGGTTTGCAAGAACAAGGGCAATAATTCATACTAAATATTTTTCCTATAGTAGCCTACTTATCCAGCAACTCAATTCAATCTTCCAAGAAACAAAACCTTTCACCTATGACCCATGTTTAATTTCATTTTTGTATCAGCACAATTGGTGAAAATGAAATGATTAAGCAAACCTTCTCTCTTGAATGACATTTATACAATGAAATCAGATAAACTGCTGCATCTTGGGATGTCACATGACTAAGCTATGATTGGATATCTGTCTTGGATTTTCCACTTGGTCTATTTATAGTATCTTATGATGCTGTACATGTATGGTGGCTGGTTAGGGACATGTTAAATGATTAAATTAAATTTTCTTATTTGTTAACCAAAATAGTTTCTCAGGAAAATAATGACATCTATTGTAAATTGTGATTATGAACAAAAAAATTGTGACTTGTAGGGTCTGTCAAGAATTGTGCCTTCTAGAGTGTTTACGAGCTAAAAATTGAACGCATTTTCAAGAACAAGGGCAATAATTCATACTACATATTTTTCGATTTCCCTGATTTTTCTATAGGGTTTATCCTTGGGTGAATACGAACACTCATACCAAGTTTCGTCAAAATCTGTCAAGAATTGTGCCTACTAGAGTGTTTACGAGTTAAAAATTGAACGGTTTGCAAGAACAAGGGCAATAATTCGTACTTAATATTTTTCGATTTAGCTGATTTTCAATAGGGTTTTATCCTTGGGTGATTACAAACACTCATACGAAGTTTCGTTAAAATCCATCAAGAATTGTGCCCTGTAGAGTGATTACGAGCTAAAAATTGAACGTGTTTTCAAGAACAAGGGCAATAATTCATACTAAATATTTTTAAATTTTTGCTGATTTTCAATAGGGTTTATCCTTGGGTGATTACAAACACTCATAACAAGTTCCGTTAAAATCCTTCAAGAATTGTGCCTTCTAGAGTGTTTACGAGCTAAAAATTGAATGCGTTTTCAAGAACAAGGGCAATAATTCATACTAAATATTTTTCGATTTCGCTGATTTTCAATAGGGTTTATCATTGGGTGATTACAAACACTCATACCAAGTTTCGTCAAAATCTGTCAAGAATTGTGCCTTCTAGAGTGTTTACGAGCTAAAATTAACAAGGGCAATAATTCATGCTAAATATTTTTCGATTTCGTTGATTTTCAATAGGGTTTATCCTTAAGTGATTGCGAACACACATACTAAGTTTCGTTAAAATCCGTCAAGAATTGTGCCCTGTA